GCTGGATTGTGCCAAATCGTAGTACAAGCTAGTAACATGCTGCATCGCTGGATGTGCCTCGCTTCGCATGCTGGCTGGATTGTGCCAAATCGTAGTACAAGCTTAGTACTGGATGTGCCTCGTTTCGCATGCTGGCTGGATTGTGCCAAATCGTAGTACAAGCTTAGTACTGGATGTGCCTCGTTTCGCATGCTGGCTGGATTGTGCCAAATCGTAGTACAAGCTTAGTACTGGAATGTGCCTTTTCGCATGCTGGCTGGATTGTGCCAAATCGTAGTACAAGCTTAGTACTGGATGTGCCTCGTTTCGCATGCTGGCTGGATTGTGCCAAATCGTAGTACAAGCTTAGTACTGGAAGTGCCTCGTTTCGCATGCTGGCTGGATTGTGCCAAATCGTAGTAATTACAAGCTTAGTACTGGAAGTGCCTCGTTTTGGCATGCTGGCTGAATTGTGCCACATCGTAGTAATTACAAGCTCAACCAAATCGAAAGCTGGCTGGATTGTGGCAAATCGACGTAATTAATTAATTGAAAGCTTAGGCAAGCCAGCTGCTCGCAGCCATGAACAACCAGACAGCGGCGATCCAGGCACACAGCCAGAAACTTCCAATCTTTTGCAAGACAGACAAACATCAGCCAGGCAGTGGCGGACCAGCTTGCCAGTCAGACAGCCATCCTGACAGACGTGCAGGCAGAACAGATCAAACCACCAAAGCCCAGCCGAATTTGAGCCCCTGGCCAGGAAGAGCTGCACGCGATCGGCAAGGCCATCGTCTGTGCCGAGCAGCGGCAGGCGGACGGGGAATGGATTAACGAGATGCCCACTGTTTCCCTACCTGCTAATTATCTAGCGAAACCACAGCCAGAGGGAACGAGCTGGGGATAATCAGCGGGGAAAGAAGACCCTGTTGAGCTTGCCTCTAGTCTGACTTGGCAGGATGCGTGGATGTCGTTCGACGGCGACGTTTCACGCCATGTGAGCCAGGCAGACAGCCAGCTAGGCAGATGGCAGGTGCGCTGGGCAGCCCTGCGTGCTCGCTGCAGACAGGCAGGGCCGCCCTTTAGCTGGGTGGCCCTGATCTGGGGCAGCTAGACAGACAGCCAGGCAAGGATCACTTTTGCTGCCTTAAGGCCTTAAACCCCTAAAACCCTAAACCCTAAAGACCCGCTGAAACAAACAGGCAGCCGACGATCCTTTTCAGGCTTTTAGAGCCAGACAGCCAGTCAAGGTCGCTACAACTTAAGGCCCTAAAACCCTGCACCCTTAAACCTAAACCCTGAGCCCTGGTTAGGCAGACAGACAGCACCAGACTAGACTGGCTTGGCTGTATAACAGCGAGACAGGCTCGGACAGCCAGACTCGCAGACAGCACAGCTGCAGACCGACCGCAGCAGCCGAAAATAGACAGAGCTCAGCCAAAGCCACCACCCCAAACCCTCAATCTATAGACCCTAAACCTTCCCCCTAATTCAAATTAGGGTTTAAAGGGCGGTGCTACTTCCGGGTGGATCGGGGGAAAAGTGTTTTTATAATTAGGGGTCTCTTTAATAAATGGGGGAAGGGATTATTAGGGGACTTAGAACCCCACTTATCACTACCCTGAACCTCCACGTAAGGCTCCATGCAGGGTCCAGGCCACAAGCAAGAGCCCCACACCCTAACACGACAAAATTGTATACTCTATGCCCAAAGTCTGTATACAACCCTTCTAGGATCAAGGCTTTACAGAACTCCTGAAGGAGTCCTTGAACGGAATCCCGCACAAGAATCCGTAAAGGAGCCCTGGAGACCGAAAAGCTCTGAACCTGAGTCACGCGCGATGGCCGCGGCAGGGAGGGGCGAAGAGCTCTTCGTTTCTTCGAAGCAGGCGGTCAGGTAGCCTCACAGGGGCTTTCGAGTTGAAGATGTGTTTTGGTCTTTGGTTTGGCTTTAGGGTTTCTGTTCCGGCTATGGTCTTTGGTTGGGAGCTTTGTGTTCCTTCGGGCAAGTGGTGATCGAGGATAGTGCTTATTTTGGGTACCTCCCACCTACAGTAACAGTCCATAATTGGGCTACTATTAAGGGGCTACTATATCTGTATCATAAAGGCTATTCAACTGTTACTGAGCGGGGGTTCAACTGTTACTGAGCGGGGGCAGTACGCAATGATTATTCTAACCACGGACCCGCATTTTACTTGGCAAATCCAGGCCCTAAGAGGCTGAGTCGAGAAGCCTAGACTCGAGAACATCCTCCTAAAGCCCACACATCGCCCAACAAAACCTAAAGGCCAAATTTTAAAGATTGGATCAACGTATAATAAGAACCCACAACTGACTTTTATAAAAAACTTTGGAGTGGGAGGGCTAGGTCGTAGACCTCACCATGCTAGAAGACCGAAAACTCCGCAAGACCGAGACCAGGGTTCAGAATTTAGGGTTTAGGGTTTAGGGTTTAGGGTGACCTAAACCCTAGAGCCAGACCCCAAAGCCCTTTACCTTGACCAATGACAGGCCTTGCCTCGCATCTCATCCACAGATGGTGCTGCGCCCAGGGTGTGAAGTCCTACTACTTGGAGGTTCACTGATATTTATAAGTATATTTAAAAGTAGGGTAACTATACTTATAACCCATATTAGGGGACTTATAACCCTACTTATAACTACCCATGAACCTCCAAGTACCAAAAGCTTATAACGAGGATCTGACTTCGGGGTTTGAGATGACGCCATAATCGCATCTCTTCTAGTATGTAGCCCTTTGAGCACCCTCATAGAGCCCTGTGGCCCACAGGTTCATACAGGTTTCCATGGGGTTTGGGAATCCTAGACGCAAGTCTTGCGGCCTGAAGGGCCTTCTAGAGAGCTTTCGCAAGGACTCTCCCGGGCCTTCCCAAGAGCTGTATCAGGGCTCGACGAGGCTCTACATGGCTGGTTGTCAAAATTAGGGTTCCTTTTCGGGTACCCTAAATATAAGGTGCCGTACTATAATCGGGACCCAAAAAGGGACCATAAGTTTGCCAACCACTCACATAGCAATCAACCTCTTGATTGCCTCAGCTGCAGCTGAACCGAGAGCAGATTCAGACAGCGCAGTGTAATACGCGAGCGTGGCGCCGAATCGAAAGGAAAAGATGCCGTCCACAATGTCAGAGATCCCAAAAACTCCAATATCCCTTGATTAGGGAATATACCTTGAATCATATCGGGGACCTTCTATAATTTAAGGAATATATTCCTTAATTAAGAGATATTGGAGTCTCTGGGATGGACAGCTCGCCATTTGCCGTGTGCGACACTTCGAGGGCTGCCCCTCCGGATATGCCGCGGAGAATCAACGCTTCTACTGACTTGTAGCCAGAGTGAACCCTCTGCACCTTGGCTACGTTCGAGCGCACCGGCAGCTCATCGCCGGTAGCGAAAACGACTACAGACTTGTCGCCTTCTGTGGCCTGCGTCACTCTGCCGGGCGTGATTCCCAACACGCCAGCCCGATAAATGGCAGCGAGTTCGCGGAACCCAAATGATCCGAGAAGCAGCCATCTCTTTTTCAGCGGGTGAAGGTACATGGTGTTGCTTTCGGAATGGATGTGTGACCCAGGCTGCTTGGCTCCACATGAACGCATTACTAACTATTCCGACCACTATGTCCAGCTTCAAGCTTATGGGTTCAGCTGAACCCTCCTCGATTCACATGAACCCATGCGCCTCAAGAAACCAAAGTAGGGCTCGAGGGTATATGACAGTATAGCTATACGTGGACTACAAGGGAACACTGTACCCTTGCTCGCTGCTCAAACATCTACATGGGAGTTTCCGAAAATAGGGGACCCTAATGTAACACCCTAAATAGTAGGATCCTCAATACATTACAAGGACCCCAAAATTAGGTACCCCCAAATTTCGGAAACTCCCATATTAGACTCCTGACGGCAGGTTCAGTCTTCGAGGCGCAAAGGGCTCGACGTCAGTACTCGGAACTTTGGGTGCATGAATTTAGCTTAAAGAATTGAAACTGCATTAAAAAAACCATCGAGCTCCTTAAACGACATGGCGCAACCGACAGAAAGCCACATAGAACGCAAGAAATCCAACCCTTCGACATAGGTCCTTCTGAGAACAGCGAGGATTCAACTTCCGCCAGGTATCCACCTGACAGGTATGTCCAGCCAAGACTTGAAGGGGCTTCTTGATCAACTCGGTTTAGGGTTTTAGGATTTCGATCAGAGGTGCAGTGTAGTGCCTGAATCACTGGATGGTGTAGGGTTTGGGGTTTAGTTGAGGGGGGATGCTGTGGCATATTCATACAGGCCACTAGATGTGGTTTTGGAAGCTGAGACTTTGGGATTCAGTGCCCTTCGGGCGCGTGCCTAGGGTTCAGGCCTCGGGGGCTTGCAGAAACAAGAGACAGTTACGAGTAGAACGGAGAAAACGTGAATATGAGAAATTCGGGAGTACATAATCGTGCGTATGCGTAATCTTTTTGGGAGTGATCGCGTTTACGAGTAAGCTTGCTGTGGTCGTCTAGTCGTGCTTGAGAGAAACAAGTCTCGGGCAAACGTCTAGGATAGCAGAAGGCAGGATCATTTCCGCGAATATCCGCATAGGCCATTCGGATCTTGAGGCACACGGGCATGGGCTATCTGCTCAAAGCGGGCTGCAACGAATTAGCTCAAAACTCGTTCCTATCTGAACAAGCAGACTTCTGAAGATCGGAGACGGGGCAGTCGTCGTATAGGCCGTCGTCACTATGGCAAATGCGGTGGTGGTACTTGTAGTTATTGTTGTGCTCTACCATGCCGACGACGACCACTACTACTACGACGTCGTGTCGATCAGAGCTCAGATCCGCCCTAGAACCCGAGTGCACACCACGTCTTCGCTAGTTGGATCTTGCAGGGGATAAAGACTTGTTGGAGGTATGCGCAGGACTACAAAACCACGTCGGTAGAAGTGTTCACTCACCGTCCGCTATATCATGTGCAAGAAGACATACTGTTCGGCCTATGGCTGTTCTTGCTTCAATGATGGCGAAAGGATCGGGACCGAGAAGGAGCAGCATACTGTGCAAGCAGGAAGCGAAGTCGTCCCGCATAGTCGGCAAACTCCTGCAAGTTGAGTCGGGTAGTGGGGTTTGGGCTGGAGGGAAGCGGACTGAGAGCATCACGTTGGACTGTGAAGCTGTGCTGATGCAGGCTTAGACCAACCTCCGAACCCCAGGCTGGATGGAACCGGTTCTCTTGCAAACCGGGCCGGTAGGGATCAGAAGAGATTGGGGTTTGGGGCTTCAAGATCCCCATGACTAAAAGTTGAGGATGCCATGGTTTTGGGTTTAGGGTTTAGCGGTTCAGGGACCCTCTGGGTAAAAGCAAGACAAATCAATCCATGTAGCCCCTGCGGGGCCTCTGCCGAGCACTTCGCCGCAGCCTCTTGAGCGACAGCATCGATGTCTGCAGATTTGAGCTTGGTCGCGACCACCTCTGAAGCAAAGCGTCGTGGCACCAAGAGTCCGGAGGGGCCTTCATTAACTAGAATAGGGTTCCTTTCCAGGGGTCTAGAAGGAACCCATAGTAGGGTTCTACCAAATAGGGGCCTTAAAAATTAGAAAAGGGTTTTGGGGCCCACTATACTATAATTATAATACGGAACCCCCAAAAAATTATATATAGGTAATTATTGAAGCCCCTATACTGATGGGTTTGAGCTTAGGATCTCGGGTATGGTGTCGGGTTTGGGGTAGAGTTTAGGGCCCTGCGGCCACCTTGGGGGTTTAGGGCTTCGGATATTTGGGTAGTTCTTCTCATCAGGTCCCCTGTAGACGTTCCCAACCCTACACCCTAAACCCCTAAACCCTGAACCCCTAAACCCTAAACCCCTAAACCCCTAAACCCCTAAACCCCTAAACCCTAAACCCCTCAACGCTAAACCCCTAGACCCTAAACCCCAACAGTGTACGTCACTCAAACGGGGCGCTAATTGAGAGAACTACCCGTTCGAGAGAGGACTGGTACCACCTCTATTCGGGAGTTTCCGAAAATTAGGGCTCCTTTAAAGAGATCTATAAGGGTTCCTTAAACGGATCTATGAAGGCTCTATAACGGGTTCAGGGTTTAGAGTTTCCGAAAATTATGGAGTACCTCATTTTGGGGTCCTTGTAATAAGGATCTTGCTATTTAGGGCACTATATTAGGGTCCCCGATTTTCGGAAACTCCCATTCCGCAGACCACCCCAGTTCTCCAACTGAGGGGCTTCATCTTCTTCTTCTTCTTATCAGGACCCTGCTACTTAAGGCTCCAGACTTGGGCTTCCAAAAAGACTCTCGCATGTTGGGCAGAGGCACTGTAAGGGATTTTCAACAGTGAGGGGAGGCCAAAAGGGGGGTTGAAGATTCTTGGGGTCGGGATTCCTTAATATGAACCCTAGTATGGGAACCCTAATCCCTACAAAACCCCCATAGGCTAAAACCCCTTTTGGCCTCCTATGAAACAGCTCTAAACTCTGAGCTCGGGATCGATGTCGATTTCGAAAGTAATGTGACACGGCTTGGGGCTTTTGGGATTGGAGTTTTGGGTGTAGGGAGAGATGTGATACGACTTAAGACTTTGGGTTTATGGTTTGGGGCGGATATCGTCGACGGCAAGGATCTGCAACAGCAGCCTACACCCAAAACCCTAAACGTTCCTAAATCCTAAACCAAACTCAAGCCTGAGCCCTGGAAGCCCGGGAATCCCAAATGGCCATGCTGGCCTGCTGCGCAGCTGGGGGCAAGGGCAGGTCTTTCTGCAACCCCGCAGAGATCACGGCCTCCGACGACAAAACTGCTGAGAATGCAATTAATTAGACCGCACCCCTCAGTTCCAATTTCCCAACACCGACACCTCACAAATATGTGCAAACACTGACACATTGATTCAACAACCCGGAATTCGCCATGCTTGGCGACCGCATGTGTGTGTGTGTGTGCGTCATCAATGCGCATTGACCATGATTACAAGGCAGGACGACATGCACGGTACCGCTTGAGTCTCACTGCGCGAAACCATCCCGAGACTGCATGCCGAAGCTTCAACCCAGCAGGCTCCCATTAAATGATAGTCACGGGAAGAAGAAGAAGAACACAGGCTCCACTGACAAAGAACAAAGCCATTAATATGGGGGGTCTGAATAGTTAGTATAGCCCCCAAAATAGTATAGGTAATTATCTAGGCCCGTATATTCCTCCAACGCCCAACCAGGCTGAAGAGTCCGCCAGAGGCACCTGGATCACAGCAGTCTCCAAGCTGGGCTCTGCATCGTCGCCTCCGATGGCAAAAATGTGTCGGGTATCTTCTATGTGCTGTAGGAATGGAGGAATGGGGTAACATTATAACTACTATTACTACCATTCTTCCATTCCCTGCCAACCAAAGGTAAGTATAGGATCAAGTTTAGGTCTTTGCATGGTGTTGTACTGGTATGTTGTACTACATCCGACACATTGAACGGACCCTGAACACTAAACACCGAACACCAAGCCCTGAACCACGGAGGAAAGCCCTCAGTACGCGAATCCCTGACACCTTGAGTCCTCACCTCCAAAGCTGGAACTCTACCATGTGACTCTAACACAGGGTCTTGTGCTAGAACATATTCTAAAGTATATAGGGACAACGCAGACAAGTTGGTGCTACGTGCCGCCTATCGTTCCTCCGGCTTCCGGGGCAAGCTTGTGGGATTCATGGTGTCAACCGTACAGCCGAAGCAAAGCCCAAGCTACCTCTAGACCTTGTTGGAAAGCAGCAAGCAGAAAAGCACCAACAGCCATGAGCCTTTACAACTGAGCTACGCAAACTTCCAGCAGATTGAAGGCAAGAACCACATTTGAAACATGGCCAAGATCAGCGAGTTGGAGCAGAAGCGTGACTGATAGAAAGAGCTACATTACTGCGTAATCGTTGGTAGCAACTTGCATTACACCATTGGGGGACTTGATAATATTAGACTAGGGCTTTCGTGTCTACTGCAGTATAGCAATACAGATGGACTAGCAAAAAAGTATCCACACCTATGTAGACTAGACTAGACCACTTCCAAATCGTGAAACTCCCTCGTGATACCCCATGAAACTATATAGACTCCGTATTACAATAGAACCCTGGACATTAAGCCCTAGACCCCATACTCCTAACGTTCCAGGAACCCCCCCTCTTTCAGAAAAAACCGTAGCAAACCACTGCAACACTCCCTGCTCCTCCCTCCTCTTCGTCCTCCTCCTCCTACTACTACGACGACGACTAATTACTACTACTACTACTACTACTACTACTACTACTACTACTACTACTACTACTACTACTACTACTACTACTACTACTACTACTACTCCCACCCCTACTTCTATCCGTACTTCTCCTCCTCATCCTTTCTTTGCTTCCCCTCCTACCACTGGCGCGGCCCCCGGTCGGCCTCTGGGACTCTTCGGGGCGTCCGCCGAGGCTCCCGCGACACTCGCGGCCGCACTGCGAAGCCGGGCCTGCTGACATACCCAAAAGGGTAGTATAAGGGATCTATAAGGGGTACTATAAAGGGATCTATAAGGGTACTATAAGGGATCTACTATAAGGGTTACTATAAGGGATCTAGAAGGGTTACTATAAGGGGTCTATCAAGGTACTATAATATAGGGGGCTTAACAATCCTGTAACTTACTTTTGGTTAGTAGGGAATGAAAGTAAACGGATAGTATTAGTACTTGTTCAGATTCTTACAGTGCTGCACACTTAAGGGGCAGGCTTGAAGGTTTGGCGTTCGGGATGCAACTTTCTTTCACGGGCACTTTACTTCACCTGGCCTTCTTCTACCGTTTTGGAGAATTTAGGGACCCTACACCATAAACCTTAAATCCCAAACCCTAAACACTAAGTCTCGGGTTGTTTCAGGGGTCCAAGCGCAAGTGTTTATGATGAGCTTTGGATCTTATGGGACCAAGCTTTGCCGATCCTTCCCGTCTCGGGTCTGGGTTGGGGGCTTTGGGGTTCAGGGCTTTAGGGTCCTTGCGGCGCACCATAATTAAAGGGAATCTCGATGGTCCCTTCTATGTAAATATTGCAGGGGTTGATGTCGTCCCTTGCTATAGCATCTTGGTTCCGGCATTGGGTCCATGTAGTGAAGAGCATTGAGGCGTTCCAGGCTTGACAAAAGTTTAACAGCCCTCAAGTCAACCCTAAACCTTAAAGCCGTTAGCCATTAGCATTTGTAGGGACTTACCACGATTTAACAGCCTGTGAATCATCCCTCGGCGAAGTATCCCTGCTGCAGAACCCCAACTGCACTTTGTGGAGTATTCTTGTGGGCTGGGTTTAGGGTTAGAGGGTAGGGTAATTTGGGGATTACGGGGTGGGGTTAGTTCAGGATCCTTTAAGAGACAGTGGAACTAAGTGAACCGCCGTCCGAATTTTGCCCACCCAAGAACATCACAACCTGACCCCCACACGCACAAACACCTAAAGTTAAACACGGTGAGCATCGGAGTCCTCCTCCTCTGTGTCTGGGTCTCTGCGCTCTGCCAACCTCAGATTTTGGCAGCGGGTGTTCGTCGGGTAAACTCGAAACCTGAACAACAACGCAAAAAGTAACATTCAGATACTACGGTTATAGGCACCCTAAACCCTAAACCCTAAGAGCACTCAATGTTTTCGAAGCCCCAAGGGACGTTGCAACCTATCCCCGTAGTGCGACCCCGACGAACAAGGAAGCACTTTCGTCTGCCACCCCGTCGGGGAGTGTCGTTGATTTTTTGGAGGTTTTGTGGTCAAACGCCTGAAGGTCTCGAGTTTTATGTGGTTTTCGTCAAGAAGACGATGTTTCGGAGCTGTTGTTCATAGGTGTTGGGTCTTGATTTTTGGTGAGGTTTGTGTCGCAAATACCTTGCCTATCCTTGCCTTTCGTCATGTATGGTTGTTAATTTTTGCTGTCCGTTACGAAGTTCTTGTCTAGAAAGCCCAGACAACACGAGTGTTTTTGTATTGGTGGCGTCCCAAAAGTAACTTAACAACAAGCCTGCCAAAATTAGCTGCGACGCTCGGCCAGCAACCCCCGCACAGCCTGTAGCTCCTGCAGCGGAGGGAGTAAGGGGGGGGAGTTAGGGTGGGCTTTCCATAGGGCTCTGAGCATTAGGGGATCCGTAATCGACGTGCTTGTATTCAGAACCCTGCAAGTTGAATCGAGCCCATGTCCGGCCCAGGTGCCAGAAACACGAGCAGCCATGGAAGTAAGAACACAACCAAACAACACGAACCAATACACAAGCAGACATACCATGGAGGCCTAATAGGAGTTGCGGTCGGGTCTACGGAAACCGAAGTACAGAAAGGTACCTTCAGGGCATAATATGGCTAAGAGTGCGAACTTCTGTATTTCAGATCCAAGCATTGCGCTGGTAGGTTTTCCTAAAACCTTTAACCCTAAACACTTAAGCCTTAAACTTCTAAACCCCAATTAAACCCCTAGACCCTTAACCCTAAACTCTAAGACCCAAACCCCTAACGTTGAGCCGTTTTGAGAGCCCTTTTGAGAGCCCTTCTAGGACGGCTTCGTGGTCTGCGCCCTTGTCTGCCCGATGTAGGAGGGCCCCAGAATTCGATCTCTAGGCGATGTAGGAGGTTTCGGTGTATAACGGTTTAGGGTTTCTAAACCCTCCAAGTAGGCCTTGTACAATCCCGCCCGGGCATAGGGCGGCACATTGTAGGAGACGAGGCCTCGGTTAATTATCGGGTGAGAGGGTTCCTGTAAGGGTTCCTGAGGGGGCCCATAAGGGCTGCTACAACGGCTACTCTTCCTTCCTGCAGCCGGTTTTAGGGTGTGTGGCTTCGCGCGTTTGGGCCTGAGGGTGCTTTACGGCTACCCCAAACCCCATTTCCAAACCTTGAATTAGTCGTTTGGGTGTTGTGCTTTTAGGGTGGTGCTAGCTGTCTCCAGTTTCGGTCCAGCATTCGTGCCCTAAGTCTCCAGATTTACGGTGTGAACAGGCCCGTGTTGGTGGCACTAGGGACACTTGGCTGTTGTCACCGGCACTCTTGCTCCGTGCGACGCAGACGTAGCGGCCGTCATCTTGCTGTTGTTGTCTCACACCCATACTGATGATGGTGGTGGTTGCTACGGCTACGGTTGATGATATAAATCCTGCATTACCTCGAGGGCCCTCAAGTATGGGAATTATGGTGTATTCCCTATTATGGGTAATGCAGGATTTATATCGTCAACCGTAGAAATGCCGAATGCCGATGTTGCTGTTTCGTAGGGCAGCAACAAGTGGCACGACGCGGCATGTGCAATCGCTGTCGCTAGTAGCAATATTGTCGTTGCTTCCCTTGACATTGCAAAAACCCTAAACCCTAAACCCTAAACCCTAAACCCTAAACCCTAAACCCTACAAACACGATATTCGAAGTATAATCGCTCGTGGTAGTGGTGGTGGTAAGGCCTGAAGGTCGGTCAAGGACTTGAGCGCTAAGGCAACGTCACAGTCTTGCTTTGCAAGATTTCTTGGGGGTGGGAGCATAGGCCTAAACCATCTGCATACTGTGAAAGTTACTGTAAGTTCACTGGAACAAGCACATGTCGAAATTAATGGTGTGATGTAGTTCCGACGAGTTCTGCTGCGATGGATAAGGCCGCACGGTGCAAACGACGCAGACCCCTGATTGATAAACCTCCTTTCAAGGGGATCCCCGAGCTGTTCCTAATCAAGGGTCCCTAAACTCTAAGCCCGAACACCCAAAGGCAAGACAAAGCCCGAGGCAGTACACGGAGCTCCAAGTAAGGAACCACGCCCCTAACACGGCGTTTAGGGTTCAGTAGTTGGTTGGCAGGCAAGAGGCATCCATAGCCCCGCCTTGGTTTCGGGCATGCAAACAGGAAATCGCTCACCAGGAGGGGCATGAAAAACAGGATAGATCCGAGATCCCTTTATAAGGAACCCTATAGATCCCTTTAACAGGAGCCCTATAGATCCCTTTATAAGGAACCCTATAGATCCCTTTATAAGGAACCCTATAGATCCCTTTATAAGGAACCCTATAGATCCCTTTGTAAGGAGCCCTATAGATCCCTTTATAAGGAACCCTATAGATCCCTTTATAAGGAACCCTATACATCCCTTTATAAGGAACCCTATAGATCCCTTTATAAGGAGCCCTATAGAACCTTTCAAGGATCGTTATCACCTCTTGCGCAGATGTCGCAGGGTCTTGCTGGGTGTCTCAGGTTCTACTTCTTCGGCTCTAAGCCGAGCAGGCCGTGATATCCAAAACCCTGAATCGCCACGCAACAGGGGGGCGGGGGGGGGGGAGGGGGGTAGTTCTCTAAATTGTAGGTCCCCTGCCACCGTCCTATTTCTCAGGGCGCCGCTGTTTGGGGGGCCTAATAAGGGACCCTAACTTAGAAAACTACTTAAACCCTGTAAACCCTAAACCCTAGATAACTACCATAGACCAACCCTAAACCCTAAACCCTAGATAACTACCCATGGACCTGAAGAAACAAGGTCCCTACAACGGACGGGGAGATGGCTTCTTTAGGCTCCCCATCTCAATCTCTTCGTCCTCAGAGTGTAGCTTGTTTTTGTAAGGCTCATGTGCACAGAACTGGGTTCCAGGAGTCTTTCCCAGTCTTGCAGAGAATCCTAGTTGTAATACAGTTTTGGGGAGCACGCTATGCTAGAGGCAACTCGGAGGAAATATATGACCAATTCTTCCGGCTTCTACACTGCGCTTGCTGCGTTTACACGGATCGTCCGGCTTGGGAGCCACGCCATGGCGCCTACACTGGGCACTACCTATAGTCTCCATTGTAGTTCCTTTTTTTGGTTAAACCATTTTTATAGTTAGGATCCTATAAGGTAACCCAAAAAAGGAACTACAATGGAGACTCTAGGTAGAGTCCTTGCTAAACCCCCAGTTGCCACAACCCTCGTCTTGCATCCCTGACTAAGAGTGCCAGTGCTAGGTTTGGGGCTGAAGGTAGGGGTTTATGTAGGGTGTTAGCGCTGCGCCGTAAACCCCAGAACGCCGGTTTCGTGGTTTATTGTCTAGGAATTTAAGCTGCTGTCCATGACCAAAAGGATTTTGCAGCATTCCCTGCCGGGTGAACATCTTATGGTTGAGCGTTTAACCCTAAAGAGTCGCCATACATCGGAAACTCAGAGAAAGCCAGCTTACTCCGACCCACAAAAAGATGCCTCAACGCCCCAAAGCATACATCCGTACGCCCCGACGCCTTAAACCCAACTTCACACAAACCATAAACCCCAATCCCACAAACCCTGGCAAATTCGTGTACAAGGCGCGTTTGCACCACTGATAGTCTACAGACCTTTGTCTGTTGCCGTAACAGAAACCCTTGTAGACCCCTCTACCCTGAAGCTCAACACGCCTCATACCAAGCCGCCTCTTGGCGAGGATTGACTCACTCGGGTTGTTGGCAGCGTATAAATACCTCGAAAATCTCGAAACGGTAACTTACGTGTCCAGCTTGCTAGAACACAGGGAGGCTGAAAACAGGGTCTACCAAGCCAAAAATAGGTGTCTGAAGACCAGTCCACTAGCAACAAAGCTCTATCTGGCAGTTCAAGTTCAGAGGGCTCCCAGAAACGAGCTCTAGGCGGCAGCTCAAGTTGAAAGGATTCTCAGTATTCAGGTCGCTATGCTTGGGGCACAGCTTTTTTTTGAGCTTGGGGTTGAAATGAAAGCCTCAAATAAAAGCCACCCGGACTCAGCAGCATCATTTTACGGCTTCGGGCTTTCGGCTTAGGGCTTAGGGTTTAGGGCTTAGGGTTAGGGTTAGGGCTAGGGGGTTAGAACTTAGGGCCAAGGGCTTATGGCTTAGGGTTGCGATATTATGGTTTTAGGTATGCTCCTTGTTAAAGGGCTTTGGGCTTAGGGTTGCGATATTATGGTTTTAGGTATGCTCCTTGTTAAAGGGCTTTGGGCTTAGGGTTGCGATATTATGGTTTTAGGTATGCTCCTTGTTAAAGTAAGGGGTATTGGGCTCCCTGGCGGCTGGATATTCATGGAGTCTGGCGCAGATTCAGATAGTAGCCTTTGAGGTTGGAGGTTCCGAGTTTAGACTGGAGTCAGGGCGAAGTCAAATCAAACCCGCAGAGCGCCCTCAACATGGGGGTAACCCCGTATACAAACCCTTGAGGCAACCTCAAACCGAAACCCTGAATCCCAAGCAGCGAACAAGCCAAACACTGGGCCCCAGGCACGTGCGGCAAGCCCCCAAGCAACTGATCGGGCCAACACGAGCCCAAATTCCTCAAGGGCTTCCCGTTTACAGATTTTCAAGTGCTTCGGTGTTCTGGAATGGTGAGTTGCGTCTTGGCCTTGCTTCCTGCCAAGGCCATAAAGGCCCGAAGTAGGGTTTAGGGTTCAGGGCTCTCGGTTGAGGTTTGACGGTTTCGGTTTTGGGACTGGGGGGCTCATACCCCATCTTTCTAATCTTGCTCCAACCCTCTATAGGTTGCACTCATTGGTGCTGCGAAGCTTGATGTCTTGGAGCCTTTGCTGGGTTCTTGTGCAGGACTTTTCCTTGAGATATCACCGAACGGAAGCATACTCAGCAATACATCCGTATTATTATAGCGTTGACCAATTCAACAGTTCCGCAAAACACCCAGCTGGAGAGCTTCAGGGAAAACCTCAAGTTTAGGCTTTGAGGTTTTGGCTTGAGGGTTTGGGGTTTCAGGCTCAGGGTCTCTCGGGTTTAGGGGCCCGAAACACTCAAGGATCTACAGCATCTACAATGGATTCATAGGGATTCCTGTCTTACACATCTCTGTTAGTAAGGTTGATGGGCTAGGGTTTAGGGCTGAAGCTCGATGAAACGAGAGCTACCTCCTAAAACCCCAGACATTCTTTGGAAACTTCAGGCGAAGCCGGGTCGCCCCAACGGCCGCCCGGGGAGCCACTCAGCCGTCCCGTGCCTTCCACGCAGGGTTGGGTTGAAGCCCTAAACGCGCCTAAGACAGGGCCTCGAAAGTGCAACCTGATGCTTATTAACTGTCTTCCAAAAGTGTTTTCAGGTTTACAGTTTAGACGTTTCGGACAGAGGATTTGGCAGGATTTGGGGGGAGGTTCGAAGAGTTTGGGGGTTCTGCGTTCCGGGGTTCGAAGATGTGATGGCCAGGCTTAGAGCTGTCGGGGCCCATGTTCTGAAGTTTTGCGGGAGTGGGAGTTGGAGTTGGGATTTTGATTTCACGGTTAGCTTTTCTCCCGAAACCCAAAAAGACACAAAAACATCCCGCGACATCCAGTCAGGGCGCATTCCGAAGTGGACCACGGCGTCTGCCCCCAGCTCCTTGTTTGGTGGAAACATATGCCGTCATCTGCATTGCTAGCTATGGCATCTTAAGCTGGCTTGCCTGTCTAGTGAGAAGAGACCCTAGACCCGTAAACCCTAAACCCCTAAACCCTAAACCCTGCAGGATGCCACCCAATCACGAGGTGGCTTCTCCGCTTCTGCTGGATTCTTTTCGGGTGTGTCGGGTCACTTTCAGGGTTTCATCAAATTTTCAGCTTCATACTCGAAAGCCTGCGCAAGCCTAAACTCTAAATCCTGAACCCCACCAGAACAAACAACCAGCCGGAAAGACCCTTCCGTTCTGCCGCGCATCGTTTTCGATGTACTTGTAGAAGGCCACATACTGCGGGTGAGGAGTCATGTCGCGCTCGAACCTCGGATCTCAGATCTGAATCATAATACGCGATGGTCAGACTACAGTAATGTGCTCTTTGTATTCTTCATATTATGAACCTTATTCGTTTTCCTGCTTTCCTGAGGGTAGACACTAGTGGTAGCAGTGGTAGTCAAGTAATTAGTGGTCGTGGTCGTGGTTGTTGTTGTGGACTGTCAAGTGCTCCTCTGTTGCACGCCTTGATGATCTTGCCGTCGACAACCTACAAGTTGCACATGCAAGCCGCCTGTCCGGAGCATGCTTTGTGCCGGACCGGAGGCTCTTTATCCCTGCCATTGGGTTGGGTTAAGGGCTCAGGGTTGGGCCATTCGCGATCAGACATGACCATCACTCCCGTACTTGTACCCCCACACAGTCTTGGCAAAGGATTCTGAGCCTTGAGCACCAAACTCTAAACTTCTCTAAACTTCAGGCCACCTAAGAAACCCAAAGCCCTACACAGCTTCAGTTTTTTGTATCGTCCCGATCTTTGCTAACCCTGATCAACAACCCCAACCCCCAATCCCGTGACTCCTACAGGCTGAGCCCGTGGCAAGAGTCTCATCGGATCGCCTGGGATGCCCAACGGTGGCTGGACTGCCAGCCAGACCTTGTGCGGTTTAGGGCATCATCGAAAGGATTTAGAACTAAGGGGTTGTAAGCTTTGGTGATAAGCTGTAGGGTTCGAGATGAAGCACTGCTGACGGTTTACGACGATAGAGCAACCTTTAGGGTTTTGGGTTATGGGCTGCTGCTAATTAGCTTTGGGATTCCCTCATCTACTATTTGCTTAAGAGACCCCCAAAGAATAAAAATAATAATCCCTATGTTACCCCCATAAGGAATAGATTTTTTATTTTTTGGGGGTTCTTAAGCAAACAGTAGTCATCTTTTTCCCAGTATGCACTGAGGCCCCCATTGCTGTCGGCCCTTTCTGGCTTCCTACGAACGAAGGCTTTAGTTGCTGAGTTCATAAGCCCCCAAATGTTCACACTTTCAGATTTATAGTGGGTAATATTATCCCAAAAGTGTACAGCGTATCCACCCAGCTACTAAGAAGGAGGCTTCAGCTCGGGTTCAGGATTTCATAAATGTACAAGAGAACCTGAGGGATAGTAGCAGCAGTTCTTCAGACCGCTGTGCTGCACCTTAAGCCGCCAAACCATCTATATAGTCTGTCAAGCCCTTAACCTGCAGCCACTAAAACTTAAGTCCTGGCATGCTAACACCCTAAGCCCCAAGGCCTAAACATTAAATCCCAAATCCCGAAGGAGCCTAGCCCAATGCTACTCAACAGCTTATAGGCATCTAAGCCCTCAAGCGGCGAAAACTTGAGGTTTAGGGTTTTATGGTTTATCCTCATACAAGTTTTAATCCACATCCCAAAACTCTACACCTTAGAACTTGGAACCCCCTGAACCCTGCGACAAAACGCTAAACGCTAAAGCCCAGAAATACCTTCAACATCCAAGCCCGTACACTCAAACTCTAGAGCTCTCAATTCCGAACCCCAAAACCCTTGAATACCGTCAGCACCTGAACCCTGAGATATCACCGAATCCCCGTCAGAATCCCAAACCCCCCCAACCGAGGTCCTCACTACAGGCCCCAAAATGCCGCCAGCTGGACTGACAAAAACCTTTCAAGCAGAGTGAACCCTAAACCCTAAACCCTAAACCCTAAACCCTAAACCCTAAACCCTAAGACCCTTAAAGCCCTAAATCTTAAACCACCAAAAGGAAGAAAGCTCCACCTTCCCCTGGCGCCGGCCGCCCAGCAGCAGCCTGGTCCCCATGGTGCGGATCCTCGGAATCGTTCCAAGCTTTCAGCTGAGGGTTCTTACCTACTATTTGCTTAAGAAACACCCAAAAAATAAAAATAATAATCCCTATATTACCCCCATAAGGAATATATTTTTTATTTTTTGGGGGGTTCTTAAGCAAATAGTAGTTACCCAAAGGGTCCAAGTATCATCATGGTATATACTTATAGGGTATTTTGGGGGTCTAAGTATTTACCATAATCGTACTTGGACCCCTTGGGTTATGGGGTTTAAGGTTTAGGGTTCTCGGGGATTTGTGATGATCGGGTTTCTTTCAAAGGCTTCATGATACTGTCCCGAAAGCCTTTGAAAGCTTCCGACTGTTCGTCGAACAGAAGGATCACAGCCTCACTGGGGTCTCTACTGCATCAGCCAGAACTGAGAATTCCAGAGGCTGCAGGTCAACCGATCTGGGCTTGTTTTCCCGCTCGGGGAAGATGGTGTCAAAGATCGTTGTCCTATGCAGTTCCGAAGAAGTGCGGCAATGCTCCAGAATACCTTTCACCTTCTGGAGTCAAATTGAGTGGAGGCGGGAAAGTCAGTCACCCCTCGCGCTAGCTTGGTTGCCACACCACCGGACTTCTCCTTTAGGAAATCATGTTCTGTTCCCTTCAAATAGTCCGGCGTGGGCTCATCGCTGTCCAAGCTGGCCTGCACCATCATGATGGCTTCCGGTGCACTCCCCCCCCCATCCTTCGAGGTTCACGGTCTATAAGGGTCTTAGGGCTTGGTCTTCTGGATTGTCACTGGCGGCCCGCTAAGACCTATGAAAAAATGGTCATTCTTCCGGATATACGATCCCTAACCGCTGAACCCTAAACCCAATCTCACCCCTAAACTCTGAACCCTAAACTCGAGAACCTAACACTAAACCCTAAACACTAAACGCTGAACAACTAAACCCTCCAAACCCTAAGCTTCAACCCTTATGACAGTGTATTTTCAATATCGGCTCTGAATAAGAGGCGACCTCTGGTGGGGCTTTTCGCTTAGGGTTCTTATGGGTTTATAGGGGTCTATGGGCTGCTAATCAGGTTGTACAAGGCTTTGGAGGAGTTAAAGATGTCTTGCAGAACCTTATAGAATCCTTACGAAAGCCGCTGAACCTTTCCTTGTCCTAATCATGTCCTAATCCGTGCAAACAGCCTGGACCGTTCGATAAAAGCCCTCCCTGCAAGAATAGAAGCCCTGCACAAACTAAAGCAACAAACACCTGTCAAACCAACGCGCTGGTCTTACCCTGAAAAAATCAGGAAAATGAAACCTTAAACCCTGAGAATCCCGGAGCGCGTAAATCCTCGCTGCAAAATGCTAGAAGATTAGTAAGATATGCGTTGACCCCGCCCACATACATGCTAAACCCTATGAAACCCTGTTGACCAACAGCGTTAAAGCAAAGCATATTGCAAGATTAAGCCTTACCCACGAAAATCCCCACATCCCCGAACCCCAAAAACCCTAAACCCCTAAGCCCTAAACCCCTAAACACTAAACCCTAACCCCTAAACCCTAACCCTTAAACCCAACATCCCATGTCCCAGCAACCCGCTCTGCGCCAAACCTTCGCCCCAAGCGCCCTCGACGGCTTCCTGACTCTGTTGGGATTCAGGGTTTAGGATTTAGGTTTTAGGGTTCAGCGGTTTAGGGTTTAGGGGTTTAGGGAAGTAGGGTTCAACGGTTTCAGGAATTTGGAGTCAGAGTTCGGGTTGAAGGTTGGTTTTTGTGGGTTGGATACTTGGAGATTCAGGGGTAGTTATAAGTAGGGCTATAAGGGGTCTATAGGATCCCTTTAAGGGTTCTAGAGGGTTAGGGTTTAGGGTAGTTAAAAGTAGGGTTATAAGTATGGTAACTATACTTATCACCCATATTATAGGGGACTTATAACCCTACTTATAACTACCCCTGAACCTCCAAGCAGAGTTCATCGGGTTTTGCCAGGGATTCATTGTGGGAGTTTTGTTTGGCTTACTTTCAGAAGGCTTTAGAAGGGTTTCATATCTGCTTCGGGAACTTTTTGTGTTTAAGGGTTTAAATTTAGGGTTCAGGAGTGTATGTGTCCACGGATCAGGAGGGAAGAGAACCGGAGAACAAACCCTAGCATGCCAAGTCTCATATGTGGAACAACCTTCTTGCCGCTGCCTCAGAAACGTCGCAAGTCGCCCAAGGGCTTGGTCGAAAACCGCGCACAGAATGCCACAGTTAATGCCCTGCAAAGCTTGTTCATGCCATCGTAAGATGGGGCGAGAAGTAAAGTCCATGATTCTACGACCACAGGAAGGAGACTCCACATTCTGGACGCACCTACTATCCTCTCGGTTCCTTTGGGCACGCGATGCATTAACACTTAACAACAAGCCTATGGGGACCGGATGCTGAAGCCTTAAATCGGACAACACCTCAGCACGAAACCCTCCAAGCCTTCAAAATGTCAGAGCCCTGAAAACACAAACCAAGACTAGCAAACCCCGAAACACACCGAAAACCCTTAAATTCCTTAGCCTTCAAAAGCTGGAACCCCGACAAAATCTCCCAAAACCTTGCAATTAAAAACAAACCAGCCAACAAAACCCAGAACGTAAGCCTTAAGCCTCAGCACCAAAAAAAACACCCCCTGCCAAAGCAACGCCTCAAAAACACTCAAGAGAAAACCCCGAGAAAAAGTCGCCCCATAAAGCCTTGAGCCCTAAAGCCCCGCAACCCTGAAACTGTAAACCCCTGCACCCGCCTAAACCCTAAACCCTGAACCCTATACCCTAAACCCTATGCCCTTTACCCTAAACCCTAAACCCCTAAACTAACCCGCTGAACCCTAAACCCTAAACCCCTAAACCCTAAACCCCTATCCCCTAAACCCCTAAACCCTATACCCACACCCCTTTAACCCTAAACCCCTAAACCTTTAAACCCCTAAACCCCTAAGCCCACAGCCCTTTAAAGGAACCCTTGTAGTACCCTTCTAGTAACCCTGTAAAAGGATCCCTTTAAAGGTATCCCAGATTTACCCTAAACCCTAAACCCTAAACCCTAAACCCTAAACCCTAAACCCTAAACCCAAATTTTCGTAACCCTGGAGGCGCCTGGCTCGCCTTGGGCAGCCACGAGGCGAGGGTCCCAACTTCCACGGAGGCCGCGCCCCGGAGGCTCTCCTGGCGAAGCTTCGCTTTGGGTTTAGGGGTTTAGGGTTAGGGTTTAGGGGTTTAGGGGTTTAGGGATTTAGGGTTTAGGGGTTTAGGGTTTTAGAGTTTTCGGGGTTTAGGGGTTTTAGGGGTTTAGGGGTTTAGGGGTTTAGGGGTTTTAGGGGTTTAGGGGTTTAGGGGTTTTAGGGGTTTTGGGGTTTAGGGTTTAGGGGTTTAGGGTTTAGGGTTTAGAGGTTTAGGGGCTTTGGGGTTTAGGCTTCGGGGTACAGTGGTTCGGGTTTAGGGTTTGGGGGGTGGGGTTTAGGGGGTAGGGTGTATACGTAGGGTTTAGGGTTTCGTAGCTTGGAGGTTCAGGGCTGCAATATGGGTTGTAAGTATAGTTACCCGGTACCCTGCTTATAACCCTACTTATAACTACCCATGAACCTCCAATTGGAGAAGCTTCGCTTGTGGGTAGGATTTAGTGATTTGGCTTTGACCCTACACTCCCTAAACCCTAAGCCCTAAGCCCTAAACCCTAAGCCCTAAGCCCTAAGTGCCCCGAACCCTAAACCCTAAACCCTAAACCCTAAACTCCCCGGCATGCAAAAGACGAAGGAGGCCTCAGCGTCGCCGAAGCTTTGCCCGGTCTCGGCGGCCTGGTCGCCTGGCTCGATCGGACTTTCGTGGTTTTTTTGTTTAGGAGCTAGGGTTAAGGGTCTAGGAGTAAGGTGTTTCCCTATTCAGATTTATGGTGCTATGTTTTTTTTGCGGTGCTTTTTGTGAGGTGTTTCCTTATGGGCCCATGGGGCTTTACAAGTTGGTGCTTTGTTCGTGGCTTTGCAGTCTTCGTTCTAGTGCTATTGCTGTTATAATGCATGGATGGATTTTGTGAGGATTTCTGAGTTCAGGGTTTCAAGTTTAGGGTTTAGAATTTGGGGGTTTTGGGCTGCAGTGGTTGAGGGTTTCGGATTTTGGGGTCAGAGGTTTGGGGGGTCGAGCATGCAAGGGCTCAGGTCTTAGCAGCGTCAGGTTGAAGGGCATTTTCAGGTTTAGAGATTTGCAGTATTTTAGGGAGGGTTGAGGAGGGCTGCAGGGTCGTCACAGCATGTGCAGTACAGCTTGACAAAGTACACAACTAATGTTCTGCATATGTGCCTGATCAGCTTGGGTGCCGCGCGTGCCAACAAGCTTTGGGTATTGAACGTTTAGAACACGAAGGCGTTAATATAGGGGCCTGAATAATTAGAATAGGGTTTCGGGGTACATTATACTATAACTATAGTAAGGAACCCCCAAAAAATAGTATAGGTAATTCTAAGGCCCCTACATTACAGCTGTAAGGCAAGAGTTTACATCCCCGCTTGGTCGATTCTTCATGGCTCTTGGGCTTCTGATGCAGGGCAAGGGAGGGGCTCCATAAGGAATTCCTATAGTCTCCATTGTAGTTCCTTCTTTTGGTTTAACCAACTATATATTCCGGATCCCATAAGGTAACCCCAAAAAAAGAACTACAACGGAGACTATAGGTTTAAACTAAGTTACCGTATTAGGGATCTATAGTGAATAATAGGGTTGCCTTATGATGGTAACTTGAATTAGATCCCTTAACAAGAACCCAGACTAGAACGTCTTTGGGGATCTGCCTTCGTGTTGAGCGTATGAGTTTTTTATGGAGTTGATCCATGGACGAGCGGGTCACAGCTTGTTGCGCTTGCTGCTGTGTCCGAAGGAAATCCGTTTCTATACTGAACTTAGAACCCTAACCAAAATCATAATTCTAGCTGTTTCTTAGGGAGTATTAATAATAACCAAAAATTAAAAAAGTATTTCTAAGTACCCCTAAGGTTTATGAGGATCCTCAAAGCTCCGAGTGCTCCAGAGCGCCTGCCGTGACTTCTCGGATGAGCTCCTCCGCGTCCTGGTCGTTGTGGGCTTCAGTTCAGTTTCCTAAAAAGGGGTTTTAGCCTATGGGGGTTTGGATAAGGGTTCCCATGATAGGGTTCATATTGAGGAATCCCTACCCCAAGAATCTTAAAACCCCTTTTGGCCTCCCATCAGAAATCGAATCAACCATGCGTTCAGGCCTTGAGGGTTCAGGGTTTCAGGGCTTTGGGGTTTTGTGGATGTCTATCCGCTGTTTCGGAGACACTCTGCCTCAACAAGCAGCAGCAGCAGCAGCAGCACCGGCACGAGCAGCAGGAGCAACGACTCTCAACTCCTTGTAACTGAAGCTGTTGTTGTTATTGCGTTAGCAGCAGTAAAACCTGTCGTCGTCGCAACCGTCATCATGGCAAAAGACTGCGGCATGCTAGCAGCGATAAGATGATCGAGCCATGCAGCAATACTCAAAGGCCTGCACTCTCCAAACCGACCATGAACCTCAGTACCCTTGAAATAACCCGAAACCCTGAACCATTTGCAGAAAATTCCGAAGCCTCAATCGCGAAGCCCTCTACCTCAAGGGTCCTCCGGGAGCGTGCCCACGTCGTATCCCTCCTCGGCCATCTCCTCCAGGAGCCTTCACCGGTACCCCCTAAAGAGAAAGGCAATCAGGGAGAAAACAAACAGGGTGTCCATGAAACTGTTGACCCCTAATTAGGCCCAATGATTCGTAAGCTTTATTCTGCGAATAGTGTGGGACCCCAACGGCTTAGGTCTGAGGCTCATCCGGGTCTCTCCAAGGCTTCTCATGTCGTAGTCCCGAAACACATCTACAACAAACAAACACGAAACCGCTTTCTGCCGACAAAGGCCCGCATGTTACGACCTTGGTGAGTGGTGGGTGCTTTGACCGCTACTTCCTGTGTCAATTCGTCGCTGCATGCAGCAGCAAGTTTGCGAAAATGTAATCACCACTGCAAGTGGCATATGGCTCCCGTATAACCTTGTCTGCCAATGTGTTACCTAACTAGCCCCTGCCACAAATGGCCCCTGGAATGCTGGTTTGAGGAGGTGTGCTGTCCTATACCTGAGAAGCACTTAACCCTAAACCTCAAACCCCCTAAGCCCCAAGCTCTAGACCTGAACACCCCAAGCCCTGATCCCTAAGCCGCCCCCGAACTCGCTTCTGCCCTTGATGGGGCTTCCAGAACATCATCCCTACGCGATAGTAGGAATCCCCTGTCATATAAGCCAAGGGCCCCCATCCAACAGCATCCCTGACCTTGAAGAAAGCTCCCTGGTCCTGGTGCTTAGTAGGGAATGGGGGAATGGATACCTATGATTCTCCCTACAGGTCCCTTTTGGCAGTCCCAATAACCCATTCCCCCATTCCCTACTAAGAACCAGACAGATTAAATCCTAAACCCTATAGATCCCTTATAGAACCCTTAAAGGAACCCTTAAGGAGCCCCCATTCCCTGCTAAGAACCAGACAGGAGAGCCCACATGAACCTCTCGCCTTTTCAGCGACCGCGGCACGTTCAGCAGAGCAGCAGTGCCTGCGTTCGACTGATGGGTTTCTTGGCTCTAAGGATTTTTAGGGCTTTGGTAGTTTAGGGGTTTAGGTTTTAGGGGTTTAGGGTTTTGGGGGCTTAGGGTTTACCACCCTAAACTCTCAACCCTCAACCCCTCAACCCTCTCGCGTTTCCCCGTTCGCTGCAGTACCCTAAATAGTAGGATCCGTATTATAAGGACCCCAAAATGAGGCACCCCTAATTTTCGGAAACTCCCACATCGCAATTGACGCTTGTGGTTCCCGGATCCCAGGAACAGGATTCTTGGCATTTGGGGCACTTGCACCCCCTAAAACCGTGCGATGCAGGAGCTTACTGTGTTTATTCAGTAGCGGTTTGTAATGGTGCTTATGACAAGTATCTGGCTCCGTTTTTTGGGGTTCTTACGATGAGGATTGTAGGGCTCTAGGTCAGAGGCTCCTAGATTTGTTGAGACTCCTACAAAACTCTGATATCACCCTGGACCCTGAACCTAGACCCTAAGCCTTAAACGCTACACCCTAAACCTCTCAATCTGAACCCTAATTCCTAAACCCTAAACCATAATTTCATAATCCCCAATCCCCAAACCCTACACCTCTAAACCCTAAACCCTGAACCACGAGTGCCTGTCGCTCCGATACCCGGAGGATAGCCATACACGACGATGGCCACCTGCACGCAGGCTTCTCATTCGGGCTTCCGAGTCTAAACTGTAGTAGGGCACATAGACAATCCCTAAATCAAAAAACCTTGACAGGCCTCAAGCCGCAACACTACAAGCCTAAAGCCCCAAACCTATCGCCGGAAAGTTTTACCCTGGGTGTTTCAGCCGTGAATTCTGGAAATGGTCAGAAACCGAAATGTAGTAATTACAGCGCATTATCGTTCGCATTAGTAGTAGTGGTAGCAATAGCATCAGCAGTAGCAGCAGCAGCAGCAGCAGCGGGGCTGGAGTAGTAGTAGTAGTAGTAGTAGTAGTAGTAGTAGTAGTAGTAGTAGTAGTAGTAGTAGTAGTAGTAGGTAGTAGTAGTAATAGTAGGTAGTAGTAGTAGTAGTAGTAGTAGTAGTAGCAGCAGCAGCAGCAGCAGTAGTAGTAGTGGTGGTAGTAGTAGTAGTGGTGGTAGTAGTAGTAGTCGTAGTAGTAGCGTAGTAGCAGTAGTAGTAGCAGTAGTAGCAGGAGTAGTAGGAGTAGTAGAGTAGTAGTAGTAGTAGTAGTAGTAGTAGTAGTAGTAGTAGTAGTAGTAGTAGTAGTAGTAGTAGTAGTAGTAGTAGTAGTAGTAGTGGTAGTAATAGTAGTGGTAGTAACAGCAGCAGCAGCAGTAGCAGTAGCAGTAGCAGTAGCAGTAGCAGTAGCAGTAGCAGTAGCAGTAGCAGTAGCAGTAGCAGTAGCAGTAGCAGTAGCAGTAGCAGTAGCAGTAGCAGGAGCAGCAGCAGCAGCAGCAGCAGTAGCAGTAGCAGTAGCAGTAGCAGCAGCAGTAGCAGTAGCAGCAGCATCATCACACTCGCTGCGGACGGTGAAGTCGCAATGCGCTGATTGGAGCAGGAATCACCTGGCGCACAGTGGCGCGCGATCACGCTTGGATCGCCTCGAAGCTAACTAAGTGGTTGCCCCGTAGGGCCTATGCTGAGGTTGCAGCACTCCTCATTCGGTACACAAGGATGTAGCTGGAAGTGGATAAGGCTTCTGGTAGGACCGATTGCGCAGAACTATTGAACTATTGTCATCGGTGTGATGCCACAGGTTCGCTGCTCCAGAACGAGGTTTGAGTGCAGCACGGTAGTGCCCACTGACCGTGGTCGGTCCAATATGCTGGACAATCGCCTGAAGCTGATACGTTCTCCATATGATGCCGTCAGGGGATGAGGGAGTCCATTGTGGAAAGAGGACTTCTGGATCAGCATCTATGCGATGGTCACGTTTGGATGCAATGCCCTGTTCATTGCGAAAGCGGTTAAGCTGTACAGCCACAGCTTCAGTACCTGCAATCAGGGCGTGGCGACGTTTCTGCGAATACCAGCGATTGATACAGGACTGGGCGGTGGTGGCAAATGAATCTGAGGCATCTTGCATTCCTGAAAGTATGAGTGGGCAAACCCCGCCTTCATCTAGAAGCGTGTGGCTGTCGTCAAAGGACTGCCAGAGGCCCTGAAAGCAGGGCGCATTGAGGACTTGGTGTAAGTGAAGGAGGAAGTCCGCGGCATCATGTTGCCTGGCTGGGTGGGACCAGCGTCGCATTGCCTGTCTCCACGGGAGGAGGGACCAGAGTGTCACTTGCGGTTGTTTGCGCGCCTGGGCGATGAAGCTCCTCAACGGTTCCCGGTCCAGTACCTGAAAGGAGGAGGGGGTTTGGGACACACAAGCCAAAGATAAGTGAAAAGGCAGGCATGGGAGTAACAGTAGTTGGAAGGATTGCGGAGCTGCAATGTCGGGAGCAGGGCTGAGGTCTCGGCGGCTGTCTCGGCATAGGGATGTGCATGGACTGGAGGAGGGTCTGCAGCTGTTGGGCCAAGGCTGATCTCTGGAGGCGATCCGGACGGAGGGTGCAGCCAATCATCAGGAGAGAGGAGTTGTGTGAAAGGAGCTGGAGCAGCTCCCAGAAGCGAGCCGTGTGCTCGCCCCTCCAGCCCACTTCCAATAGCCAGGTCACCGTGCTGCCTTCCATTTTCTCCTCCAGCTGGCGAGTGGCATGGAACCTGTTGAGCAGTTGCGGTTGTACACTCAGCGTCGCTAACTCCTTTGCAATCTCCACCACTTTCTGTGCCGTGAGCGGTTCGCGATCGGGAATGGGCTGCATCACCCCCTCCTTGTTGTTCCATTGATCTGGGTCCGGAGCCTGAGCAGGAGTTGGGCGCGAGCCCAAGGAGGCGGGTGCCTGTCGTACTTGAGTGTGATGGGACTTCCGCATGTGGAGACGCACGGCCTGAAGTGTGCTATAGCCTACTCCGCAGATTGGGCAGCTGAGTGGCCGATAGCTGAGGACGCTGCTGATTGGCTTGAGGTGGGCGCGAGTAGAGCCTCCCCGAGAAGGGGTCATAGAGTCAGAAGGGTCGGATGCAGAGACAGCAGGCGTCGTCGAGTAGTCCTGCAGCAGGTCGAACCAGATTTCCTGCGCCGCAGTTGGAAAATCCGGGGCTTGTTGGAGATGTCGTTGGATCCGCTGGTCAAGGGTGTCGCCTGGCGGTTCGAGCTGGCTTCTGAGTAGGAGGTCGTGGGAGGTAACTTTGGTGATGTGTCCCGGTAATTTATGGATGAGGCGGAGCTGAGCGTGGACGAACTGAGAGAGGAGGGTACGGGAGTGGTGGGTGATGCCTGTGGCCTCCAGGGAGTAAAGGACAACCGGGTAAACACATGTCTTCCAGACGTGGATTTTGCTGTCTAGGGTCAGTGCTCGACAGCGGAGGACCTTGGCCAGTCGCCAGTAGGCCTGCCAGCCAAGGTGTAGTCGGTGCTGCAGGTTGAGAGCTTCATGGTTCTGGTAGGCAACTCTGGCTCCCAGGTAGGTATGGGCGTCTACGATCTTGATGAGCATAGTGGTTTGACCTACGCGGAGCTTTATTGCGGGCTCGCCTGTTTCCAGCTTGGTGAGTCTGGGGCGGAGAGTGCTTCTGGCCGCAGTACCTTGGAGATTGAGCATGAAGACAGTTTTCGTGGGCGACACTCGGAGGCCTGCTTCGTGGAGGAGCTGAATCAGTATGCCTGCCGCGCGCAGGCTGGAACGGAATTGTTCCTGTGTCCGTATGGTCCAGGAGGACCAGATGTCATCTGCATAGAGGGTGGGCTCTCCCAATATCTCCTTCTTGTGAGTGATGGTCTCTTTGAACCTTAGGTAGAGCTTTGTGGTGGCCATGGACCACAAGAGGGGCGAGAGGCCGCAGCCCTGACGTATGCCCTGTGAGAGCTCGACTTCGTCTTTGTGCCCTGCCAGCTCGAAGGTGAGCTTGGCCTGGTCGTGGATGTGGAGTGCAAGCGCTACCTCCTCTGATGTCAGGCCTGCTGCCTGCATTGAAGTCACAAGCTGATCTCTTGGCAGCGAATCAAAGGCTTTATCAACGTCCAGGCTTAACGAGAGACCCCCGGCGAGTTGGCAGGGGGTTACGCCTGAGTGGCGCTGGTGTCTTTTGGGGACGCGGCTGATCGCGTCAGTGGTGCTGCGGTTGCTGACGTATGCGAATTGTGGCGCTTGGCGGATATATGTTTCAGCTCTGTCTCTAATGCGGTCTGCCAGCATCATTGCCAGTATCTTACTACCAGGTGGGAGGAGGCAGATGGGACGCAATTGTTTCGGGAGACGAGCCATGGTCACCTTAGGAATAAGGCATACATGCACTCGGTGCCAGTCCTCGGGTAGGCAGTAGTTCGGCGGCTGGAGGCAATGTTTCAATCCCTCCGCGATGTCCGGCCCAATGGCTGTGGAGGTGGCCTGCCAGAGACGGGCAGGCATGTAATCCCGGGGGAGGGCTTTCCGGGAGGCGGGCAAGGGCGCTGCTCACTTCCGCATCAGTGAAATGGAGGTCCATGGTGGGCTGTGGTGGTGTAGGTCTGCCGTTGGCAGTTTGGTAGAGGCCTTCGAAGTGTTGGCGAATGGCCTTGAGTTCCTCTTGCGGGGACATCAGCATTCCTGCCGTATCGCGCAGCTGGATACGAGAGTGTCTGGTCTTTGGAGCCAGAAGTCTGGTGGCTTTGTAGAGGGCTCCTGGGGCAGTACTACTTTCCGCTTCGCTGAGGATGTTATCAAGGCGCTCTTGTTTGCGGAGGCGTCCTCTTTTGTGAAGAATGTTTTGCGTCGTCCGAATTTGCTGCGTAAGGTGCAGGGCTTGGGCTTTTTGTGTAAAGGTATTCGTGGGCTGTGCTTGCTTGAGTCGCTTTAAGCGCCAGAGCTCTCTGACTGTAACAGCAGTGTCTGGTTCATCGGTGCTCGGCTTTGGCGGAGTGATCCTGTGAAGGCCTGCCGAGGCTGTGAGATTGTCCCAAGTCTGTTGGAGGAGAAGGTTGATGTGCCGAAGGATCGTCCCCGGGGGGGGTTGGCTGAAGCCGCAGCTGAAAGGCCACGGAGTGTGCAAGTTTCGGGCCGAGTGACGAATCCGCGAGTAGGGCGGTCTGTGTGGATGCTGCATTCCAGCGTTTGCATGGGGATTGCCGAGTTTTGGGGAGCAGGTGGTGGCTTGGCCAAGGCATAGTGGTGTCAAGGGGACGGTGGCGGTTGCCTTGTTGGGGGACGAACGGGGCTCTCCTCAGGGCGCCAGCTCGGCGCGTGCATCGATCAGATTGGGCTTCCCTGCATAGTATGAAGTCAATGCGGGTACGAGTTGCGGTAGGCCCTGTTCCTGCAATGTAGGTGGCTGCGTTGGCTTGTCGGCCAAAGGTAGTGACGGCGAGGAGCTGATGGTCTCTGAGAAGGCTTTGGAGCCTGCCATAGTCTTTCTGCGGTGGGACCGTTTTATCTAGCAGGTCTGCCGTGCGTGCCAGTCGGGGTGCATCCGGTGGTGGGACACACTGTGTGTTAAAGTCTCCGAGCACTAGTAGCTGGTGGCGTTGGGCAATCCGTCCAATGAGATTGGACAGTTTGCTCCAGACTTTTTCGCGGCACTCGAGCAGCTTTTCCTGGGTGGGGGTAGCGGTGGAGTTGGTGGACCAACAGTGCTGGTAGAGGCTGATGATAGAGATGGGTGGC